ACTTGATGATGGAGTTCTTTCAGCTTAGAAATTGTTTATCCGGGTGGGTGAAAATAATATCTCATTTGAGAGAGTTGTAGTCCTTACTACCATACGATAGTGATTAAGCTATATTTCTATTAACGTTTGCTCAATACCCATTTTTCCTTCTTAAGATTTTAAATGTCAAGTAGGGATTGNCTTAAATGATTATCTCAACGTACACTCTGCACTCATATAGCTATCCTAGATCTGTTAAAGTTAAAGTTATCTGATAATTTAAGGCATGTGATATAATTGTTCCAGTTCTAGCTCCTTTAGTGTTAATTTTAAGAACATCAAAAGTCTTCCTAAATTGACCCTCTGAAAAACTTGATGATGGAGTTCTTTCAGCTTAGAAATTGTTTGTCCGGGTGAGTCAAAATAATATCTCATTTGAGAGAGTTGTAGTCCTTACTACCATACGATAGTGATTAAGCTATATTTCTATTAACGTTTGCTCAATACCCATTTTTCTTTCTTAAGATTTTAAATTTCAAATAGGGATTGATCCAGATATAAAATCCTAATAATAATAATAATAATAATAATAATAATATTAATAATAATTTTTTAATAATATTATAATTTTATTGAACTTTAAAAAAATATGTACATAATTTACAGAAATATTTGAAGTAAGAATTAAGCACTATATAACATTAAGAATGATATAAATCATAAAAATAGCAATCACTGTGTCAATAACGATTTCGCAAATACATTCCTTGCAACTCAGATGCGGTCAATGACTCTTGCAGGCAGTCCAGAGTTTTAAATTAAGTCATTACAAAAGAGAATAATCCGTCTCTGATATTAAAAAGAAAAAAAGTTGAAAAGAATAAGATCTTGTATTCCTATAAATTCCTAATTCTTTAAAATAATAATAATAATAATAATCTTTATACAGGTAGCTCACTTCACAAAGAGTGATATTCAGTGAGGCCCTGTAAAACAACAGAAAAATAAATGATCTTAGTATAAAACTGTCAGTCAACGAAATCGGCGGATCAGCAATCAATCATAACTCATGATCAGTTCAATGTAAAATAGACATAGTCACGTAAGTTCCAATACATTTGGCGGAAACTTTGGACATTTGGACCAACCATGATGATGATGTCATCTCCCCTTTCTCTCCAATGATTTCGCTTTTCTTTTTTTAGATGATGACCTCATTACTTTTGATGACGTCACCCTCTAAGGTATTGTGATGTCAGTTGCAACTTATTGCTTAAACCTCGTTTTATCTCTACTTGTCTCTCCCCCGGCTCCTATTGTTCGCTCTTTTCATTTTCGCCCAAGTTGACTGGAAAACAGTCCGTATTTCACCGGCGAGCAGTCAAACAAAAGGTCTGGAGCGAGGCTGAAAACGGATTGCGAGATTGGGGAGAGACACTGAGGCTCGTGCGCTTCGCGCTTGTCAGACTCTTTTAAAAGTTACGCCAGGAGCCCATCATTTGATGGGCTCCTGGTTACGCTAACCGGTTTTAAGAAAAGAACCGACTGTTTTGTAGTTTAGCCCAGGCAACCCCTTGTCCCGTTCGGTTAAAAGGAAAGGGAAACGATTGCTATGCAGCTGCTTACTTCGCAAGGAAAACTTCATAGTCGCACGAGAACGTAAGATCAGATAGAAGAGTAAATAGCCTGTTCCAGGTGTTCAGGGGAGACTGCCTAATCTGAACGCCTTGAACAGGCTAAAGAGTAAAATAGTCACATAATCAACGACCTACTACGGATAGGGGGACAAAGGGCGTGTCTACGAAATTGGACATCTTCAGTACTGAAATCACCCCTACATTAAAGAATTCTTCGCACACCTAGCCATTTTCTCACCCTTTCCCCAAACAGAGAGCCTGTTCACAGGCTATCTCACACCAAACACATGACTGATAACATAACTTAAAGCATAAGGCTTGATAAAGAGTGGTAATAACAAACAAGAAAGTTGGTCCAAGATTAAACATTAGTTGCGTGGTGTGTTTTGGGCCGGTATATATAGTATAATTATGTAGCCAGAGTTTTTGAAAACGCACATGGCGAAGTTTGCGGCCATTTAAGTGGAAAAGAACCAAAAGGGAGGTTTCTTTGAATCCGATAAGGCCGAAAATCGCACTAACGAAGAAAAAGAAAAGGAAAAATAGCAGGAGCGAGACAAAAAGAGGAGGAGAAGAGAAAAAAAATGGTTGTTCTTAATAAATAGTTTTTATAAAACCTGCTTGAAGCAACGTTTTTAACAATCCAATTATAAACGCATTGCTAAGCTATTTTTTTCAGTTAGTGTTAGGCTACTTTTCTTGAAAACAGCGATCACATCAAAATTCGTAAATAAATTTCCGTAAAAAATTTTGAGTATACTATCAAATCCCTGAACTTCATGTTCATTGAAAACTGTTAAAGTTGTCTAACATTCGTTTAAACTTGAGCAAATGGTGAAGCGATTTCATAGGTTTCATTATTTTTTGATCTGGGACTATTATCTCAAGCTTAGCACCCATGAAATTCCCATTCAGCAAGCCAGAGTTACCTCACTTGCCAAACACTGGAAAAAGAGAGTTTTGGTGATTCAGTAGCAAGAGATTTTGCTCTCTTACTTTACTTTATTGAATTCGCCACAGTTACCTAACGCGGTGAGACAGGGGATGAAACAGGACTAACGTCCCAATTGATATCAACCCCTTCATTACCCACCCTGCTCATGAAAGGTTGTACCACACCACCGGGGTCTATGTCCCCTACCCTTTACGAACAGCAGTGTGGGTTTTTTTTACGTCCTGCAAGAATCATAACAGTGAAAGAGCTGTGAGACGGGGCCTACAATTTTCGTCCTTATCTGAGAAGACTAGAATGTCTAACCATTTGCAGATGTCTCAACAAAGGCAGCTCATTCTCCTCAGTTATCTTAAGACCCTGAGTGTTGGTTCGGCCAGGGTTTGAACCCGCAACCTCCTGCTCGTCAGACCGGTGCTTATCAAATTGAGCTACGCGGGCGGCGGATAGGAAGACCATTAAAATTTCAACAAGGTCACGACAAGGCTGTTGTATGGACGAAAATAATCGAACAACAATACATGTGAATGAAATGTCCAATGCCTTATTATTTTACGTGAGTTGTGAAAGGACCGTTCAACTTTCTGTGTAAACGTGTTGCACACCCTCTCCTGACCCACTGACCCTTCTACGACAAAGCCAAATAATCGATTCAAGTGATTTCCGTTTCTTCCCGGAAGAGACACTGGGGAAAGAGTTCGATAAATGCACGTGCTGGTTTGGTCATTGGTCTGCTCTTCACGAAAAACGAACGGCGAAGAAAGTGAAACATCTACATCCGCTTATAGGGGTGCGTTCCTTTGGGATGAGCTGGTTTTTATGATCCAAAATCAAACGGATCATTAGCATACGAATATAGCCGTTTCTTCTTGCTCCTCCGCTAAGGACGTTTCGCCAGGAGGAACGTCTGCGACTCAGCGACAGAAATTCCATACTGATGAAGTAAAATCTGTCCGGAATCTGGACAGGAGCTCTGATTGGTCGACGTCATCAGTATGGAATTTCTGTCGCTGAGTCACATACTTTCCTCCGCGCGAAACGTCCCTGGCTGCGAGGAGCAAGGAGAAACGGTTGCATTCGCAGGCTAACGGATAATGAAGCATCAAAGATACCACTAAATTCCATCAAGACAAGTATTCATCGGTACCCTTGATAAACCATGATCCGAGTGATTTTGGAACATAAATGCTGATACGCATGATCCCAAATAATTATTAACGTACCCTTAGTACTGGGTTTGGTGTCATCACCCGACGCAAATTGGAACCTTTATTAAATAACACGATTTTTCTAGTTAGGTACTTCATATACAAATTCGTTTTGTTTAAGCTAAAAGTTTCATGCACGTTAGAACTACATGGGTATGCCAAATTAAAATTTAGATCGAGAGTTATCCCACTAGGTAAGAAAAAAAATGTCATGCTAGCAATGTGAATTCTATTCCTTATTAATAGCATGACCCGTAAAATTATCAAATCATCATCTTCTTTGTGTATATTAAAATAATTATATTCTACAAACTACTTATTTACAACAAACGTTATTAAAAGGTAGCTGTACTGAAGGATAACCAATGCAATTAGTTGTTGGGAAAGTGGTCACAAACAATCACTGTATACAGACCCCGGACCTAATATTGGCCATGATAAGGGTGAGTGAGCCCACACCACCTCCTGAGCTGTGCTCCTCTTCAATGAGAGACCCCTGGCCCCGCCCATCAGATGTTCCTACCCAGTAAAGGCAGCCGTATCTTACCAAATTTTTAGCTTGAAAAAATGATGGGTAATTATATGCAAACTTGCTATTAAAAATAATTAATAAATCTGGTAGCAGATCAACTCTAATCTCATTATCAAAATAATAAAAGTATTGTAGCAAAAACCACCATGTGATGAAAGTGTATGTGATCTCTGTTAAATCATTAGCCTAAACAAGTGAAAAAAAACCTGAAAAATTTGGCTTGACAGGCAGTGGAACCATGGCCTCATTGATGACCGGGATAAAACAATCTGTGTAGTTACGCTAATTAATGCAACTGGAGTGGAAGCCAAAGTACTAAGTGAACTTACTACCAAGAATTTTCATTTAAATGATTTCATCATAGGGTTGCATTTGCAGGCTCAAAAATATGAATTTTGCACATAAAAGGGCAATGCAACTTAACAATTTCAAGACCACTACTGATTCATCAATTTTGTCATTGACATGGCTTACACAATTAAACATTTTGTAATCATATATAAGTAATGTCAGTAAATGTAATGTTTATAATCAACTGGTGACTAATATACTAAGTGAATTGAACAAAGATGTGCATCCTGAGGAGATAAGATATTTCGATCTCTGAAAAGCTTTCATATTCCATGCTTAAAATTGAGCAGTTAATCTTTTATGGAACAGAATAATGGGTTGATGGAATGAGAAGTTGCTATTTAACCCAAGGCTTTTTTGAGAGCAAGGGAAGAGTAAATTAGACCCAACATGCCTGCCGCCACCCCAAATAATATAATGAACAGTTCAAAAGCTATGTTATACCATCTTAGAATTTTCCATTTGAGTTTCAGATGGAACATACAGGGAAAAATTAGAGTTACACAAACCCCCAAAACACTACCAAACACACTCATAAGCAACCCAAAACGAGGCACTGCTAGTGCGATACCCACGGTGGAATAAACGAGGATGACCCTTGTTGACAAAAGCCAGAGGAAATTGAACCATTTCATCTTTAAATACTTCTGGAACTTAGGTAATAGTAGGATATCCACAGTCCCACTAACGACAAACATGTTTACAGGGTAGGAAAAGTACATGTTTATTACTACTAGAACAGATGCTATTTTACTTAATATAGAAACATTTGCTGTACTGAGATTTAAAAGGACAATTGACTGGGTGTCAGTCCCAAACGTGAGAAAACAAAAGAGGCCCACCAAAAATTTCATGGCTGTTGATATGGAAAATGCCCAGTGGGAAATGATGTTGTATTTTTTTGGGTTCTTCATAGATCCCTCTACAGCTGGAAAAACAGTATGCCCACAGTATGAATATACAATGATACCCATACTTATTGGGAAGGTATTCATATCAAAAGAGAGAATACTGCCCCACTTCCATGTTTTGACATTACTTAAAGAAAAACCCAGCAAAAGGAAGAAAATAATGAGAGCTGCTAGCACTGCCATCATACTTAACCAGGCCAGGGCAGACAGTCTCTTGATGAACACAGCCAGCAGCAAGGCCGATGTACACACTAAACACCATTCCTGAAGAGACAGATCCACTTGGCCACTAGTCAAGTCTTTCAGAGTGTTTCCTAAGACCATAATCCTCAGTACGCAACTGCAGTAAGTCAGACCTATTCTCATAATATTCACAGCGTGGCCTCCAATCGGTCCCCACACGTCCGCTCCAATGTCGGCATAGCTCGCTCTTACTCGTTTGCGAAGTCGGCTTTTCGGGGAGATTTCGTAAAGACAGTCAATCAACAGAACTGAGGTCACGCTGACGAGGAATCCCACAAGAAGGGTGAGTGGTAAGGCGGCAATCCCCCCTAATGCAATGGCGAAGGGCATACCCAGAACACTGTTGCTGGAAATTATTACATTCAAAACATGCCACATAGCAAGTACGGCTGGCGCACGGGCATCGTCTGATAGTTTTTCTACTAAAGTTATAGTTTTAGATCCTTCGCGGTCTCGAATCGAAAACGAAACCGATCGCTGTTTGAAAGAACCATTCAAAGACTGCGAAATCAAAGCCATGCTGGAATGCAACGAAAGCTGTAACGAAGCAAAGAACAAAGATCCTTGGCTTGAATTAAAAGTGCTCGTGAAGCTTTTGCTGTTGCGTGCGTGAGCGCTTGAACTCTTCTCGGTGCCTGCCTCGGCCGAAGAAAGCAAAGGAGTTTCCTCGTTTGGCTCGGGGTTGTATTTGCCAATAACTTCATCCTGCTTTCCTTTGATTTTTACTGTCGTTAGTGGAATGTCTTCGTCGATTGTCGCCAAGTGAGGCTCACCGATTACTATACTACCAGACGGGACGTTAACACTCGCTGGCGAGGTGATCGATAACGTATCCATTTCTGAACCTCCGTCTCTATCCATTGCGCTTTGTGAAAGTAAAAAGAAAACAGAGAGAAGGGCAGTTTTCCTTTTTCACTGAGGTTTTGGACGTGTGGTTTCGCTAAACTCCAACGTATTCCACGTCAAAACCGCGTCAAACTGGTTCCCTCTTGTAATATCATATAAACCGGAAGTTATTAATACCGGATGTTCGCTAGGAGCTATGGGATGTTTTCGGTTTGCCAGTAACGCCAGTAACACCTTCCCCTCGAAGCCGAGTTGAATCATCATAGCGTCTATCTACGATAACATGTAACATGTCTGCTTTCAACTGTGTATTAAATCGTTGTTAATCTTATACATAATGCATTGAAGTCCTTTCAAAACATCACACCTCTGCGCCCGCGCAATGATTTGTAGTTTTGAAAAAAAACGTGACATGCCGTCTTGCGTCACGCGAAGCCCGTGTCGACACTCCTGATGTCACGCCCATGTTAAAACACTTGTATCACTACTTAAATATTAGTTATGAAGGTGACTGAAATTTGACAGTTTTTGTAAATCAGCAATAAATATCACTGCAAATAAATTTGCTCATGCTTCGCTGTGATAGACTATAACATGCCATAAAAAGGGTCTCCGGTCTTGGCAAATGATTTCATCATAGGGTTGCATTTGCAGGCTCAAAAATATGAATTTTGCACATAAAAGGGCAATGCAACTTAACAATTTCAAGACCACTACTGATTCATCAATTTTGTCATTGACATGGCTTACACAATTAAACATTTTGTAATCATATATAAGTAATGTCAGTAAATGTAATGTTTATAATCAACTGGTGACTAATATACTAAGTGAATTGAACAAAGATGTGCATCCTGAGGAGATAAGATATTTCGATCTCTGAAAAGCTTTCATATTCCATGCTTAAAATTGAGCAGTTAATCTTTTATGGAACAGAATAATGGGTTGATGGAATGAGAAGTTGCTATTTAACCCAAGGCTTTTTTGAGAGCAAGGGAAGAGTAAATTAGACCCAACATGCCTGCCGCCACCCCAAATAATATAATGAACAGTTCAAAAGCTATGTTATACCATCTTAGAATTTTCCATTTGAGTTTCAGATGGAACATACAGGGAAAAATTAGAGTTACACAAACCCCCAAAACACTACCAAACACACTCATAAGCAACCCAAAACGAGGCACTGCTAGTGCGATACCCACGGTGGAATAAACGAGGATGACCCTTGTTGACAAAAGCCAGAGGAAATTGAACCATTTCATCTTTAAATACTTCTGGAACTTAGGTAATAGTAGGATATCCACAGTCCCACTAACAACAAACATGTTTACAGGGTAGGAAAAGTACATGTTTATTACTACTAGAATAGATGCTATTTTACTTAATATAGAAGCATTTGCCGTACTGAGATTTAAAAGGACAATTGACTGGGTGTCAGTCCCAAACGTGAGAAAACAAAAGAGGCCCACCAAAAATTTCATGGCTGTTGATATGGAAAACGCCCAGTGGGAAATGATGTTGTATTTTTTGGGGTTCTTCATAGATCCCTCTACAGCTGGAAAAACAGTATGCCCACAGTATGAATATACAATGATACCCATACTTATTGGGAAGGTATTCATATCAAAAGAGAGAATACTGCCCCACTTCCATGTTTTGACATTACTTAAAGAAAAACCCAGCAAAAGGAAGAAAATAATGAGAGCTGCTAGCACTGCCATCATACTTAACCAGGCCAGGGCAGACAGTCTCTTGATGAACACAGCCAGCAGCAAGGCCGATGTACACACTAAACACCATTCCTGAAGAGACAGATCCACTTGGCCACTAGTCAAGTCTTTCAGAGTGTTTCCTAAGACCATAATCCTCAGTACGCAACTGCAGTAAGTCAGACCTATTCTCATAATATTCACAGCGTGGCCTCCAATCGGTCCCCACACGTCCGCTCCAATGTCGGCATAGCTCGCTCTTACTCGTTTGCGAAGTCGGCTTTTCGGGGAGATTTCGTAAAGACAGTCAATCAACAGAACTGAGGTCACGCTGACGAGGAATCCCACAAGAAGGGTGAGTGGTAAGGCGGCAATCCCCCCTAATGCAATGGCGAAGGGCATACCCAGAACACTGTTGCTGGAAATTATTACATTCAAAACATGCCACATAGCAAGTACGGCTGGCGCACGGGCATCGTCTGATAGTTTTTCTACTAAAGTTATAGTTTTAGATCCTTCGCGGTCTCGAATCGAAAACGAAACCGATCGCTGTTTGAAAGAACCATTCAAAGACTGCGAAATCAAAGCCATGCTGGAATGCAACGAAAGCTGTAACGAAGCAAAGAACAAAGATCCTTGGCTTGAATTAAAAGTGCTCGTGAAGCTTTTGCTGTTGCGTGCGTGAGCGCTTGAACTCTTCTCGGTGCCTGCCTCGGCCGAAGAAAGCAAAGGAGTTTCCTCGTTTGGCTCGGGGTTGTATTTGCCAATAACTTCATCCTGCTTTCCTTTGATTTTTACTGTCGTTAGTGGAATGTCTTCGTCGATTGTCGCCAAGTGAGGCTCACCGATTACTATACTACCAGACGGGACGTTAACACTCGCTGGCGAGGTGATCGATAACGTATCCATTTCTGAACCTCCGTCTCTATCCATTGCGCTTTGTGAAAGTAAACAGAAAACAGAGAGAAGGGCAGTTTTCCTTTTTCACTGAGGTTTTGAACGTGTGGTTTCGCTAAACTCCAACGTATTCCACGTCAAAACCGCGTCAAACTGGTTCCCTCTTGTAATATCATATAAACCGGAAGTTATTAATACCGGATGTTCGCTAGGAGCTATGGGATGTTTTCGGTTTGCCAGTAACGCCAGTAACACCTTCCCCTCGAAGCCGAGTTGAATCATCATAGCGTCTATCTACGATAACATGTAACATGTCTGCTTTCAACTGTGTATTAAATCGTTGTTAATCTTATACATAATGCATTGAAGTCCTTTCAAAACATCACACCTCTGCGCCCGCGCAATGATTTGTAGTTTTGAAAAAAAACGTGACATGCCGTCTTGCGTCACGCGAAGCCCGTGTCGACACTCCTGATGTCACGCCCATGTTAAAACACTTGTATCACTACTTAAATATTAGTTATGAAGGTGACTGAAATTTGACAGTTTTTGTAAATCAGCAATAAATATCACTGCAAATAAATTTGCTCATGCTTCGCTGTGATAGACTATAACATGCCATAAAAAGGGTCTCCGGTCTTGGCAGGAACAGGCATGACATGTCTTGTGA